ACTCCACACAGACAGTCACCTGAGGGTGGAATTGAACCCAGGTCTCTGGTGCTGTGAGGCAGCAATGCTAACCACTCAGCCACCTTGACCCCCCACCCCTGCCTGATGCACTGTCTACCTCAGAGGGACAGTTGATCCAAATGGAGATTGCATTGTACGAGAGCAAGGTCACATTTATTACAAGCCAGAGTCAATGTGATCTTCTGGATTCATTTCTATCAAAGGGAAGAATTGGAGAGGAATTTTCTTGATTTTCCCAAATTGATTTTGATCAGGAGTTTCAACATCTCTCCGGAGCATACATAACACTTAAGGCATAGGGAATCTAAAACACTATTTCTGCAGTGAAGCTGGAAGAACAGCACCTCATTTTCAACTTGGGAACTCAACAGCTTTCCGGACTCAATATCACGTTCGACAATTTTAGGACTTGAGCATCTTCCCCACGCTTTCCTGCACCCACACACACCAGAGTCAATAGATGTGAAGCTGGAAAAGAACAGCAGGTCAGACAGCATCCGAGGGCGGGAAAGTTAATATTTCAGGCCAAATCCTTCGTCAGGACTAGGGAAGTTGAGGGGAGCCCAGAAATAAATAGAGGGAAGGGGGTGGGGCTGAGGGAAGGCTAGGTGGGATGGTGATAGGTGGATGCAGGTAGGAGGTTATTGTGATTAGTCAGTGGGAATGGTGGAGCGGATGGGTAAATAGGAAGATGGACAGGTTAGGTCAGGTCAGGGAGGCGAGGAGGAGGGGGAGAGCTGAACATGGGATAAGGCTGGGACTGGAAGGATTTTGGAGCTTGTGAAGTCAATATTAAGGCCGTTGGGCTGTAAGCTCCCAAGGCAAAATATCAGATGTTGTTCCTCCAGTTTACGTTTGGCCTCACCCTGACAGTGAAGGAAGCCAAGGATGGACATGTCGCTAGGAGAGTGGGAGGGGGAATTAAAATGAATGGCAGCCAGAAGGTTCATTTATTCATTCATGGGATTTAGGCATCACTGGCTTGGCTAGCATTTATTGCTCATCCCTAATTGCCCAGAGGGCACTTAAGAGTCAACAACACATTGCTGTGGGTTTGGAGTCACATGTAGGCCAGACCAGATAAGGATGGCAGTTTCCTTCCCTAAAGGACATCAGTGAACCAGATGGGTTTTTCCTGACAATCAGCAATGGTTTCATGGTCATTGTTAGACTCTTAATTCCAGATTTTTTATTGAATTCGCACTCCACCATCTGCTGTGGCAGGATTTGAACCGAGGTCCTGAGAACACTCCCTGGGTCTCTGGATTAAAAGGCCAGCGATAATACCACTAGGCCATCATCTGTCCATAAGGTGAGGTTGATTGGTGCATGCATAGCGCAGATGCTCCATGAACCAGTCCCCAAGTCTACATTTGATCTCCCCAATATAGAAGAGACCACATCGGGAGCAACAGATACAATAGATCAGTTTGGATGAAGTGCAGGTGAAACTCTGCCGGATCTGGAAGGTGGCCTTGGACGGAGGTGAGAGGGGAGATATAGGGGCAGGTGTTGCACCTCTTGCAGTTGCAGGGAAAGGTACTGGGTGTGGTGGAGAAGTTGGTGGGGAGTGTGGAACTGACAAGGGAGTTGCGGAATTGAATGGTCCTTGCGGAAAGCGGACAGGAGTGGGGAAAGAAATATCTTTTTGATGGTGGGGTCTGATTGTAGGTGACGGAAATGTCAGAGGATGATGTTTTGGATTTGGAGTTTGGGGGTGGTGGTCCGTGAGAACTAAGGGGACTGTATCTTTATTGTTGGGGGGAGGGGTTTGGTGGGCTGAAGTGCAGGAAATGGAGGAGATGTGGTTGAGGCCATCCTTAATTACAAAGGAGGGGAAATTCTGGTCCCTGAAGTAGGAGGATATCTGGAGTTGTGGAAGAGGGACTGTGCCATGAATCCTATATCTGCAGTCCTTACTGTCTCCTCCCACACACACACACCAGGTTTTTTTTATATCAAATGGTCTGCTATTGCACACAACCCATTATTAGCCACTAATAGTCTCCATCTCTGAATGACTTCTTTAATTTTTTTCTACATTTTTAAAGAAGTGACTTGAGTCATCTTAAGATGTATAGATTATGTTAGAGAGGACCTCCCTGTTCAAACAGGCCAGTGTTTTGAATAGATAAAGAATTAATTTGTAAGCCACATTGATAGTGGCTGTTGTCTGTAAAGAATTGATAAAAGGACGCATGACATGCAACAGCAAAGGAATGTTACATTAGAAGGCAGGAGAAGGTGCCTTACCATCTAACCAAACTATGATAATTGGACAAATGAAACAATTGAGCTTAAACTGATATGGATTCAGATGAGTGGAATCAGATGATCAGGTAATTGACACTTGAGGGCATAAACAAAAGATTGAAAAGAGTTAGATACAGAAGTGGAGACTTGTGTGGATGGATGTGAATGTTTGCTGGATTTGAACCCTTGCCTTAAGACAAAGGAGATTGCCCAGTGACTGAGTGGTACTGAAAACAGCCATCATGAAATATATTCAGAGATAGTAGGAACTACAGATGCTGGAGAATCTGAGGTAACAAGGTGTAGAGCTGGATGAACACAGCAGGCCAAGCAGCGTCAGAGGAGCAGGAAAGCAGAC